TTTAGTGTGCCTATTTGTTTTCATGTATTTATAAAATATCTTATTAGGAAAAAATATTAGAGCTAACTTTATTTCTTGAAATTTCTTTATTTACTGAAAGTCAGATTTTTATCAATATTTGTCCCGTGAAATTTATATTAATTAGTTTTATAATTTGTGTTTTTTCATCGACATGAGTTTATTGCCCTCATTAAGGTAAACACAGTATCTGCCAAAAAATTGCATATTGAGATATGCAATTTTGCAGAAAAATCTTTTTTTAAAACTTAGTTTAGTTAGAATAATATTCACATAAACTACTAATATTCACATACTAATATTCACATAAACATAATATTCATCAGCACATAAACAGTTATATTATAGACCTAGACTTAGATTTTGAACATTTTGCAATATGGACAGAGAATGACTATGTAATCATTGAGCTGCAAGTTCGTGCTACTACTGCTGAAATTCGACCTCTATGAAGGACTGAAGAAGAAAATACAGACATATACCTGAGTTTTTAGTTCTTGGCGCGTGAGGGCCTGTCTTCACGATGAAATATCTCACGGCATTTCGCGTCTTTCTCGGTCGTGCCGCTAGATGTCGCATATCGCCAGCACCGCTCGCCCGCAGGGGGGATCGTCTCTGCGAAGATGGATACTATCTTTGGTGGAGAGTTGTAGACGACCACCTAGACCCTTAGTCTCACGGCGGCACTCACGTCCTTAGTTTCAAGGTGGAGGCAGTGAGTAGGCGATGATCACACTCCTGGTTGCCGGTTTTTCGGTAACACGCCAGCCGACCTTTGGGCAGGATTGGGCGAAGGAAATTCTTCGGAATGCTCTGGAATCCACATATAGACGTCCGGCGGAAATTTACCTACCTAGAGAATCCGCGATACTCACGTCGGTAGCCTGAAGGTGTAGTGAGGAGACGGGTGGTGGGCCCGAGCCGCACGGACCTTGTTTCGGGTGGCTCCCAGGCGGGCTCTTGGCTTCGTCGTGGCAGTGGCCCAATACTCTGGGCATAGAGGAGGGACTTGGTATCCTGGCGGATGTGTGTGGCGCGTTGTCATACAATATAGTCTCCGGCACTAGCCTGGAAAGCTAGGAGTTCTGAGTTAGCACGGCTGCCTGACCCAGGCATTGAACGGGAAGGTTTCCGTGAGGGTAAACTGGGTTTCGGTAGGACCTGGTTGGCCATCGGCCTGTTGTTGTACATTTGCGGAAGCGGGGGATGAGGATAAAAAAAGTGAAAAACTCAGGTACCCACCCCAGGGACTTGTGTCCCCCGATAGAACATCCATTGTTGTGGAGTTGTGTCCACTCTAGGGATTCAGCAGTGCTCGATACGCTCGCGATTATGTACTACGGACCCCGTAGTTGATTTTGAAGATAAACATGCGACTGAGGAGGATGGCCGGAATAAAGAAAACGGAGCAGTAAAGCATTGCAGAACAAAGAAGATTAAAAATTACAATGTGTTGAACTTGAAATCGCAAGAAAGGACAGCATAGAAAAAGGAGAGAGAGAGAAGAAAGCATACAAAGTCGAAATATGAAATAGAAAGCAGACTTAAAGAAAAAAATAGTTTTGCCAGCATGTGACAAAGATTAAATGCACAGAAAGAATTTCAGAAGATTGCAGAATAACAATAAGTAGCCAATTTTGGGGTATGACAAATATATGGAAAGAAGAACATTTGTCCTTCACGTGAGTGCTTTGAAGTTACAAGGAGAATTACTGCCCAGGACCTGCTATCTTCAAGAAGAAAACAAACATCGATTTGCTTTAAAAGGTGTTGATGGACAATCATATTTTGTTTGCAAATCATTTTTAGCCACGCTTGCTTGAAATAAAATCTGCGACCACTTTGTTTATGAAGTTTTATAAAAGACACCAAAGATCTGAGTTGGCCTTTGAAGAGACGTAAATCTCTCATCCAGTCAATTTCATCCCTGAAATACAAGAGCATATCGAAAGTTTCAACCAACTTATCATCGTCCACTACCGCCCAGACCACGCACTGAATACTCTGTACTTGCCTAGTGGTGTAAACGTTAGTATGCGTCATTTAAGCATTATTGCAATTTACACTCAAAGTAATAACTATTATTACACCATTGCTTAGTAATAATGTAGTATCCATTCATATCTTAGGATTACTGCACTTTTTAAAAGCATAATAGACAGATGGACGCTAATAATGCTTAGCCAAAACGCAGTAACATCTTTATTTTATTGCTAAAATGAAAAACTGTTTGTTATAATTTTTATAAAATAGTATTTAAAATGTCAATTCAACTAAACATAGTTACATACTTATTGTTACGATCACCATGAGGACAGCTTGTCAAAGTTAACCTCGTTTTTCGCAAAGCTTGCTTTTGTGTAGATACTATGTTTTTCCTTGCGAGGGCAGTGTAGTTATAGGGTATTTTCAAATATGAGAGATTAATATACATTTCGTTTCCCCCCGTATTTAAGATTGTTATTCACTTCAATGTGCAACAAGATGTGTCTAATTTCGGTCGTCTCAGTGTCTTATTTTACACAATTGGTCTCTTTTTATTAAATACGTATTTTAATATACACTTACTTGTACTGCTAGTATTAAAACATTAGAGAAATATAAGGATTGAATTTCTTGTTCTTACTTGTTTTTAAAGATTATCAGTACTCGTTGGGTGAACCAATAGCTAGCTTTGGTTGATTTTTTTTATTAAATAACTAAACCCCCAAACTAATTTTAATATTTTAAGTTATCGAATAATATCTGCAGTGCTGTGTAGATGAAGACAGAAAACTGGCACTCCTCAAGTCCCTCAAAGGCAGTGATGAAGTCTCCAGGGCTCTACGCTGACAGCTTGTGACGCTTTCTGTGTATCGCTGCAGTTATATTTTTTTAAATGTGGTATTTAAAATAAAAAAATCAGATTTAATTTTTGATAAATGATTTTTTAAATCTTAATAATTCTGAGAGTATTGAGCTCTGGGCTACTGTCTTGACATTATTAAGCTTTATGTTTCGGCTGTGTATCTACTACTACTCTGTACTATTGTGTGAAAACTGTTTCACGTAACTGAACTGACTATTACAATTACCGCCATTTTCTCTTGTAAAATACCACGATCAACTAGATTGAATGCGCTAGAAAGATCTAAGAATAATCCTACATTGATATGTTTCTTATCGACACACTGATATACATTTTCTATGAAATCCATTATAGATTTTCCTTTATAGATTCCTTTTCATTTGCAGATCTTCCTTTACAGAAACCATGTTGGTTGTTGGTTATATTATGCTTTCTTAAAAATGAATTATGCCTGATTTTTCCATATACGTGATCTTTTCTATAATTTTCCTGATCAAAGTGAGACTTGTCTATAGTTCCCCATTCTTGTTTCTAGCCTATTCTTAAACATTGGTTTAACTACAATTTGAAATGACAAGTTAATAATGTGATTTAATAGATATACAATGTTTCTGTGAAATCTTTTACAAAGTGATCTGAGATCTCACCTCCATCTGTGGTTTTCTTGTTATTCAATCCTTTTATAATTGCTATCACTTCCGATTCACTTTCGGGGTTATAAACACTGAACTGAAATTAAGGGTTTATGCATTTTGAAGCCTCCAGTTAGTGCTAGTGTTGCCTAACGTGTTTGTGCTTAAAATGTTTGAAGCGATATTGGGATAATAGTTATAAAAAGAATCTGCTACTCTTTTAGGCTCCTTTTGTATCAACCCTGTTAAAGTTTATAAATATATAATGTCGGCGGCTACCTCAATGGCTTCTGCTGGATACCCTTTTAACGAGTGGATGAAGGAAGAGCATTGTTGCAGGTCACGAAAACAAAAAACACTGCAGATAATAGAACTACAGACATAATTTAATTTATGCTTTCAGAAGAAAATACACAATGTGCGAAAAATGCTGTAAAAATGAATTAAAAAAGATTAAAAAATGACGTTACTCCAAAATGACAAAAAATAAAAGGGAAAAGATCATTTCATTTCGTCATAATACAGAATGAATTCCTATACTAAACGGCATTGATCTAAAGTAAAAAAAAAAAAAGAAATTTCATGAAAATCTGCCCCCTAAAAAATGATATTAAAGTCGATTAATTGTACCTTACTTCAAAATGTTCTTTGGTAAAACATTTTTTAAATACAATATGTGCCTTTGATTTGATTCTTGAATTCACATGTATGCAATATCCACTATCTTACTTGCTTTTAGGGGATAGTTCATAAAAGACTGAACACGAGTTCAATTTCTTTAAGCCAATGCTCTGTCGTACATATGATAACTAAGTCAAATGATCCATCATCAAGCATAACTTCAAAACCTATCCATCCGTCTGTCCATCCGTCTATCCATCCATCCATCCGTCTGTCTGGTGTCTGTGAACACTACTAGCGCCTAAACTATACGTAGGATTTTTTCCAAATTCATGAAACCCGTGTCGATCTGGCTCAAGTCGAATCATTGAGATTTTGAAAAAAATATTTAAAATTTGTTTTCTGAAAAAACTCCGTATTTCTAAAAAGAGGCTTCTTCAAACATTTCGAACGGATAGTGGTAATTGCACTCTTTAATAATACGAAAAGTTAATTTCAGTGTATTTTCCCCCCCGAAAATTACAAATGTATTTTTTTGAAAGATCTCTAACACCGTTGATATGCGCATTTTCTGCAATTTGTAAACACTATTGCATTTGTGAGTTTGGTTGTGTGTTTAAACAACTGATTTTCTGAATTTAATTGTAATATTTAATTTAATTAATAATTAATTTTTTTTAATTTAATTAATTGTTAAGTACTCGTTGTATTTTCAGACAAAACATAAAGTGACCTTTTGTAATAATCATCATAATTATTATTTATATAAATAATAATGTATATATTGTGATATATAAATATAAAAATATAATAATATAATGTTTATAATTATTATTATTTTCCCTCTCTCTTAAGTATATATTTTATGCTTGATTTTACAGCTCATTTCTTTAATATTAATGTCTCCGATGGACAAGCTAATGATCTGCTCAATAACACGAATTTAAATGAATTCCTTGACAATGGCAGTTGCCTTATTTTGAGTATATCAACTCACAACTCAAGTTCTGGAAAACTTTCATTGGACAACAAGGTAAGAATTACATAAATGTTACAAATGTTTGGCTTGGCGTATGTGATTAATAAGCAAGTTTTGTGAATAAATAAAAATAAGTGAATATTACCTGTAAAATTCTTCAATTTATGGATGTGAAATTCTTCAGTGTTATGTTTGTGTAATTCTTCAGTTTATGTTGTGAAACTCTTCTTCAATTTTTGTTGTGTGAAATACTTGAATCATAAATTCTTAATCCAGTGTGGATTGGAGGGGTGGCTTCACTCACTTTCAAATCTCTCTAGCCATTGATGGCCAAGTTTTCCGAAAATTCCCTTGTTTGCTTTATTATTTATTTATTTATTTATTTAATTTATTTTTATTTATTTATTTATTTATTATTTATTTATTTATTTATTTATTTTTTATTTATTTATTTATTTATTTTATTTTATTTATTTATTTATTTATTATTTTATTTATTTATTTATTTATTTATTTATTTATTTATTTATTTATTTTTTTATTTATTTATTTATTATTTATGTTATTTAATTTTTTATTTATTTATTTATTTTAATTTATTTATTTAAATTTTATTTTATTTATTTATTTTATTTTATTTATATTTATTTATTTTATTTATTTATTATTTATTTTATTTATTTATTTAATTTTATTTATTTTATTTAGTTTATTTGATTTTTTATTTTTTATTTATTTATTTAGTTTATTATTATTTATTTATTTGTTTATTTGTGTTTGTTCGTTTGTTTGTTTTGTTTGATTTGTTTGTTTGTTTACCCCGTCAAACACAGTTAAAAACTGTGGTGTAACGTGCTGTGGGTAAGAAGGTTAATTTGGAAAACTTTCATTTATGTGTCTGGAAGCAAACAAGGGTGGCCATCTCAACAATTTGGCTCGGCGCAGGGAACTTGACCGAGATGGGGTTCATTGACCCCAATCACGGGGATTTTAAAAAGCGGAAAATGAGATCTGCACCATTCTGTATGCTGTCTATTTGCACTATGCTGAAAACAAAAATTTAATTCAAAAATGCGAAAACTATCGGTGCCATTTTTCTGTTTGAAACATTTTCGGGAAAATGTCCGAAGACATATGTAAAAATCCCTCAACATAAGTACTGATTTCAAAATTTAAGGGGCCGAGACATCAGCCAATCGATTTGGCGAAAATATGGATTTGAAGAGAGATGCTGAACGGTTTTAGGCACTAGCGTGCGGACAAACATACAGGGACTTTGCCGACGACCGATTTTTCGTATCAAGCGACCGCAAAACATGGAATGCTGGATAAACAATGTGTTAGAGAGAAGTAATTTCTTGTATATTAGCGACACAGTATTTATCATCTTTTTCGGCCAGCTAAGACAATAAGAGTTTTACTGAAAGCGAAAATTAAGTCGTCTTCTTCCCGCAGCATGTACGATATACTTTCTTATACTGCGTAAGGCAGAAGCGAGAAAAGTGAAAATAGGAGAGAAAAAAACTATCGTGATTTCTTCTGCGTTAAAACAACCTACGATGTCACTTCTCTCATCGATTTAGAAAGGTAACCTGGTAAACTAGAAATCTAGCGATGAACGGTGATTGGGCTGTTCCGTTTTAGCTCTACCTCCCCCCGATTCTCTCGCTGACGATTGGACGAATGTGTGATGCCCGTAAAATTCTAATACCGGTAACTAATTGTGCGTAAAATAGCCGATTATGTACGATTTCTTGAACAGAAAAATCCCTTTTATAGCTGGGATTCATAAAAGGAATTTCGTTTATTAATACCTGCCCTTTAAGTTCAAAGTCATCTTTAATTCTTTGTAATGATTGTGATTCTTGTAAAAAATTAATGTTTCACAGGTTGTACCCAAGAGATGGTTTTCATACGGACTCATTTTCTTCAAATATGTCCTAGATATTACACAAAAGACAACATTCGTTAAATATATATTGTTTTATGCGCATTGCTCCATCACCCGTTTGCGGGCTTTTTATTCACTCTATAAAAAGATAACAAAAAGTATTTTCTCCTGTATTTTAAAGGTAAAGAACACACATTTATTTTTTGTATATAATTCTTACATATTTTTTTCTGTCGTATTTTAAGTGTTTATGTATTCATTTTTGTGTTGTAGAATGATGAATGGAGCCGAGCAATTTGATCCCTAAACTTCAAGAACTCATACTCAATTAGAATCTGGGGTTGCGAATCGTTCTCATGGAGATGAATATCTGCTAATAATATATCTAAAAAGCGGAAAACACATCAGGTATTCCTTATAAATATTTTTTTATTAGTGCTTGAAGTGAAATTTCATAATTTGAATTCAAATGAATTTTGTTTTCGTGGATAGTGATTTTGTAGCCTCAAACCTTAAGTATTTTCAAATAACCACTGTTTCAGTCAACCTCCCTCATCGTAAAAACATTAGACTGACAAATAATAGTATTTCTATTTATGTATTCATCACAAAAATAAATTAAATTGCATCCGCCTCGTGAATTACAACCAATGTATTTTCATCATCACGAAGTTATAATAGTTTAGAAAAAATGTTTTGGCAGGCAAAACGCCAGCGATCGATACTTATCGCCTCCTAAGATAGATGACTCGCAGATTAGTACGCTAGTAGATGGAGCGGCTAATGAAAATGGATTAGAAAAAAGCTATAATTTTATTTGAGACACTGAGCTGGTAGGGCATTTTGTTAGTTCAACCCTCTTGCAAGGGGGTGGGTTCTGTAGGGATAGATTCGCGCACAACCTCTCCGGTGACGGACGAACAAAGGGGGAGCGGCGCAGGTAAAAACGCAGCGACCGGGCGGCAATGGGAATTTCCTACTGTGGAAAAGATGACCACTTATACAGATTCATGTTCCGAACACATATGCGCCCACTTGAATTTGAAACTCCGTTGCCAGTTTTAGAGAGTACGGCAACGGTGTACGTCGACGCCAGGATTGTCCTGAATATCAAGCAGACAAAATGCGAACTGAAATGAGCACCAGTATGAAAACTTTCGGACGCGGTTTTGATTTTTTATTCTTCATGTATGACACCTTAGAATATTATAAAGTGCAGAAAGTCACTAAATTCTGGGGGTCGGGCTTTATCTCGAGAAGCATTGCAAAATAGGGATGATAACATCGATGGTGAGCATTATATCGTGATTGCCCTTGTCCGGTCCTGGGTACTTGTCGCTCATACGGCACAGCAGGAGGAGAAGTAATCTTTTGAAAATGATTGAATGAATATTTGCAAAACCTCTTCAGGTTCAAGGTAAAGGTAGCTCCCTAAAATTAAAGACGTTAAGAATGATCAGAAGGAATTCCTAAGCAAAAAACTAGGGCACTTAATTTTATAATTGGAAAATATCAGGTGAATACTCTTCATTGAGCACATTCTTGTGTGACAACTTTAAACTAGTGCTATAGAATGACTCAGACTATTCCTTGTACTGGTTAGTTTTCTAATTTCTTTGGTCTGGGTACTTTTCGGGGCCATGCCTCATCCTCTTCCCCAATTTTTTTTCTGTTTCCCAATGGTCAGAGCCTTTACGAGTTTTAAAAATAAATTCTGTATTTAATATACATTCACGACGTTAATATAATACATTAATTGCATTAATTATGGAAAGTATTTCAAATGATTCAATAAAGTTTTTCGAAACCTCAAAGCCCTTTGGTGGAAAATTAGCCATTACTTAAATAACTTTTCTCAGAAGAGACCCATATTGTCTAAGACAGATTTGCATATAGAGAACATAATCTTATATGCAAGTTTTACTCCTCTGTAATATTTTTAAAGTTGAATTACAATTCCACTATTATGGGGCAGAAAATGTGAAAAAATGCTCTTTATGCAGCAATAGATGTAAAGAGGGTTGGGGCAACACAGACAAGCTAGCTTAGAATAAAGAGATAACAAAAAAACTAGTTCAAGAGCCTGAGTCATTATGTAGCACAACTAGTTTTGTTCTTGTAGTTAGGAGTGAGTTCGTAAAGGTTTTCAGAGGCCCAAAATTCGATTGTTTCTTGAATTTCTGTGTTTCGGAAAAGTGGGGGTTAGTAACTTTACCGACGTATAACGTGGGACATCATTTTAAAAAATGCTCTTTAATTAAACTACGATACGAGATATCAAAAAATAGACATTTTTTATTGTATTACGTTTACCTTTCATTTAAAACTATATTAAAATTTCGGGCGAGGGGTTACAGATGCTTTTACTCTTCTATATTATTTTCGTAATATTTTTATAACGTCATATCCTCTTCATGATTTTATCCTCCAGAAATGACATTCAAGACAAGTCCAACCTCAAAATTTGGTGATATCCTGCACTTTTACTTACTCTAAGGGAGGCATGTCCAGGTCGGGGGCACGGAGAACGCTTAACTCAAGTTCGCAGGCGCCGCGTCCAGAGAAACACGCGAGAAAGTAAGAGCTGCTCTGGAATGGCGGTACATCATTGGATAATCCAGCAATGTCCGTGATAATCCTTTGGAAAAATCAGTTGGCATTCTCCCCAATTTAGCAATTATTACCAGCCAAATCACCTTTTCCTCCAATAATATAAAGAAATAATCCATTAACTAGTAATAAAACGTCAGTCAAATTTCAAAATGCCAATTGAGAGTAAACTTAAACATTTTGAATCGAAAGTACCTTGGTTTTTGTGATTGTGTTTATTTACTATAAAAGTGCAATAGTCACGTCCTATGTTGGGGTTGGTCCCCTAAGCAAGAATTGTTAACTCGCAGAGGCTTTTTAAATTATTTCTCCAAGCGGCTGGTGACAGAACTGAAAAATTGAGCATCAGTATAAAACTTTATAATTATTGTTTTCAAGTAATGCAAATTACACTATGTTTTATATATTGATGAGAAAGACAGAAATTTTCTTAATGTGTAGTTAAAGTTTTAAACTCTACCTTGAAAGTAGATACTTTAGCTTCTAGCAACTAGCTGAAACGTGACACTTTCTGAGCTGATTAATGGAAATTTTAATTTAAGGCCCAGGAAATTTTTATTTGTTTGTTTGCTTTAAAATTAATTTATTCAGAAAATGTGTCAATAGTGAACCCTATTAAGAAATGACCATTTCTGTACAATTATCGAGAAATATATTTGGTTTAATTCTTTTTTTCTTCATCACTCTGGGATTGTTTTGTGTTTCTTTACAAACACGAAACAAGGAATAAATAAATTGAGTATAATAAGTTAAAAGTACTCTGCTGTTTGTGAAAATTACAACACCTTGAAAGAATGGTCAGAATCACTTAGAAATCGGGGGATGTGTATCCATAAGAAGTTATTAAATTTGCATAGAGATGGCGTGCACGTTGGCCTAGCAGCGCCCCGTTTTGTGCGATAGGTTAGGTCAGTGTTACGCCACGCCTAGTCGGCGTAGAGCCGTCAAACATCGTGGAAACGTGCAAACAGGTGACAGTACACCTCGTCGACGACAAAATGCGCACTATCAGCATCTGAGTGAGTTCCAGCGTTGCAGAATAATCGCTCTCCGGGAAGCGGAGTTGTCATACCGTGGCATTGTGGCTCGAACTGGTCGTGCTGATACGACAGTGATGCGTGTGTGGAACCAGGGGATAGAGGAGGGTCGTCCACAGCGACGAGCAGGTACAGGGACACCCAATGTGACCACAGCGCGAGGTGACCGCCATCTTGTCCGCATGGACGTAATCGACAGAACGGTGTCATCCACTCACTGACTCAACGTTGACTCAACTTGAGAGTACTGAACGGGTGTGGTCATGTCTATGTCGACTGTTCGACGCCGACTACTGAGGGCTGGACTGGTGGAACGCATACCACTGCGTTAGATTCCTTTGTCCAGAAACCATCAACGCCTCAGACAGCAATAGGCCCGTGAACGTGTTCACTGGTGTGGTGAGTGGTAAAATATGTTTTCGGACGAGCCCCGCTTCAATTTGTGGTACAGCGATGGCCGCGTACATGTTTGACGCTACCGTTTTGATCGCAATCTGTCAGCCTGCATTGTTACGCGCCATAGCGGATAAACGCCAGGTGTGATTGGGGCGCCATTGGCTTCAATGTGCGATCTCTCCTCACACGTATTGAGGACAATCTGAACAGCAACCGATTCATTAGGGAGGTTTCAAATCCTGAGTTACTGCCCCTCCTGCAAGCAGCTCCATATGAAAAATATCAGCTGGATAATGCCCGACCTCGTGTGACGAGGAATGTGCAAGCTTTCTGCGAAGAATGTCGGGTACCGCTGCTTCCCTGGCCCGCACGTTCGCCTGACATGTCGCCCATCGAACATGTTGGGATATGATCGGTCGGCTACTTGTTCGTTCTGGCCCTCCTGCAGCCACTGTCGATGCTTTGTGGTCATGCATAGAAACCGTGTGGCAGTGTGATACCCAGCAGCATATTCAGGCTCTCTTTGAGTCCATGCCACGACGTCTAGAGGCTCTGATGGCAGCCTGTGGCGGCTTCACAGCGTAGTAAATTCTCAAGATCAAAATGCAAGTACAGTTCTGTAATTGTAATAATTTGTATATAGTGATACTCCTAATCTGTGGAATAAATTTCATTGTAATAATGTCTCTTTCTTGGTGTTGCAATTTTTACTACCATCAGGGTATACAATAATCTCAAAAATATGTCGTGACTTTCTAGTCACTTCAAGAGTTTGTGACGGTGACTACACTTCTGAATGATGAACATACTGGCAAGTTTTTACGTCCTTTAGAGCCACCATTGGTAAAATATACTGTTATATAATAAGTGATTTATGGTTTCATGCAGAAATGGTAGGTATTTTCTCGTACTATCTCGAGTAATCGATAAGAGAAGAATAATAAGAAACAATAATTTTCAGTTATTATGAGTCCAGTTGATGAATCATCCTATTGGGCATCAGTAGCAAACTCAACGTCACGAAGAGATTTGAGAGACAGGAGTACAGCCTTTTGGAATGCATTGGAACCTTTGGGAAAAGACTTTAGGTAAGTTAAAATTAATATATGCCATAATAGGTATTTTTTACTCTAGTAAATATTTACGTATTTTTCGAAGGTATATGGGTTTAAATTTTAACTTGAATAGTTAAAATAAAGCAAAAGTAAGTAAATAAAGTAAAATAAAGCAAAATATTAAGATCATTTAAAAATTAATTATGGAATTTTGTCTGAAATACTTTCAGTATTTGTATTACTGGAGAAAAAAATAATTCATGGCCTTTTCTACCCATTTAAGTTAATTTTTTGTGTCTCTTAAGAACATAAGTGTTTTAAACGTGTTGCGTAAATAATGAAAGTATTGTAAATTCAGTTTTTGGAAATATATTTTTTATTTTGTAATAATAGCAGAATAAGAATGTAAGCAATGGGAACCTTTTCTTTCCGGCTGAGTTACTCAGAGCCAGCTTTGACGCTGCCTCTGCAGTGACTCTGACTTTGAGTTCGAGTCTCGATGACCTATTCGAGTTATTCAGTAGATAATTAGGTCGAATTCAGCCTCGGTCTGGAGGAGAAGCGGCCGTCTGCTCTGATGGATAACTTTCTGTGATTTTGTCGATCAATATCAGGTGAATGTCAGTGCAGTACCCTAATAAATGGGCCTAATTAACTTCAAGCAGAAATGACACAAAAAATTCGTTTTTTCACAAATAAAAACATGCGTGGCCCTTTTTAAAAAAAAACATTATTTTCTAGAACACATTTCATTTAAGACAAATATATCTATCTTCAAATCTGTAGTTTTGCAATTTAAACTTCGGCGGTTTTCGAAAATTCAGAGTTCACTGGAAAGGGGATAGCGTCCTTTTGCCACATATCTTCAAAATTGTAGTTGTAGGAAAACGCCCAAAAGAAAAAAATAACTTTGCAATTTTCGAAAAAAACAGGAATTTGAACGGTAATGAGACCAGTCCCGTTCTTTTACGTGTCCTGTATGGTTACCGGACACAAAGTTCAATAAAAAATAAGGAGCCATTTTTGAAAATAGTTGGAAAAGATAAATGAGGCTTCAAGTACACCCAAAAATCAATCTATCCGTTTTAAACCCAGAGGTCGCCGAGTTCCAATGAATCGAATGCGGGTTACCAATTTTGGAGCAAATAAGCTGAACGGTTAGGTGCCAGCGTTGACCACAATCACAGACAGACGGATGGAATAAAAGTTTTTTCTGCCGAAAATTTGCCGTTTTCTGTCACATGATTACAACTTTCTCTTCTTACGAAGTAAGGCGAGAAAGTACAAATTGTATAATTCCTAAAACTTACAAAATTTTAAAAACTGTAAAGTTGAAATTTATTTTTAAACTTGTCCTACATCTCTAGTATTAAAGCTAGAAATTTCTTTCTCATTGCAATTTATCCCTCAATTTTAGATCTTTAAAGGATGTCATGCACGTTTTTATTGAGTTATTGAGTAATAACTAGGAGACGCAAACTTTTCAATTTTCCGCACTTTAGCACATGTTTTTCTTAATTGAATTTGTTCTTCAAATTTACTAGAGCTTGAAACAACATCAATTAAAATCCCCGAATTTTTATAAACGTGAAAGGTAAATTTTAAACCTTGTTTCTTGAAGTGTTTAGAGAACTTTTCTGTCTCTCTGTGTCTGTTTCTGTCTGTCTGACACTGCGTCTTTGTCTGTCCCTGAATCTCTGACTCTGTTTCTCTCTCTCTCTCTCTCTCTCTCTCTCTCTCTCTCTCTCTCTCTCTCTCTGTATGTCTGTCTCTCTCTGTCTTTGTCTGCCTGTCTCTGCCAGTCTGTCTCTATCCCAATATCCATGTCTCTCTGTCTCTGTCTCCGTCTCCCTGTCTCACTCTTTCTCTGCGTCACACCGTAACGCTCAGCAACAATAAAACCTAGATGGAGGTCAGTTTGACTAGAAATTTAATTGAAGTTAAGCGCAATCTTGCGCTGCAGCGCCATTTAGTGGAGTTACAACAAAATTGATAGCATAAAAACCTTCTGGGTGAAAAAAGGCGCAGATGTGCCAACTTTCATGGAGATCGATCACACGCGGCTGTTCCGGTGATAAATCTCACACTCGCTGGGAAGAAGGGATGAAGTGGGTAGTTTCCGGTCTTTGAGCGGCGACTGGCGGAGGGGGCCCCTGTGGATGCGTCTTTGTGAACCTGTTGGGTTCTTGAGGGAGGGCGGAGGGCGGAGGGTGGCGAGAGACGGCGCCCGCAAACCGGTGCACGCGTGCGCGTGGCGAATTGCTCGGAGCGGGACGCAGTGCGCCGAGGAGTCAAGACGCAACAACAGAAGGGTTCTGTCGCGTGCTGCCAATGTCGCCAGTCACATCCCAGTATAGGCAAAACGGTTGCCAACAACGCAAGAAAATATGCGGTATTGTTGCTTCAATCGTTTTTTTTAAAATTAACTCCAGATATAAAACTACAAAATACAAATACAGTTGGCATGCAAATGAGCAAAAAGTATTCTTCTCCAGGGTAGGCGAACCCCTCTTTCCAACTGACTAAAATAAAAATAATTGATTTTTTTTGTGCCTAAGTTTTTTAATTTATTTTTCTAACCAAATAAGTAAAATATTTTTGTTTTTGTTATTGAATTATAAAGAGAGAGTGAGGGAGAACAAACCAAATCCTGGGTTTTCTTAGTCCAAAACACATAATACACAGAGTTGTTTCAATATGTTTGGGACCATGATTTATATTCTCTGCATAAGTCTCTGACATTAATACTTTGGGTTTGTCATGTTACCTCTTCCTTAGTTTCATAATTATTGCCTTCTTTAGTGAAGATAAACCAAAATTTGTTCTGTTTTACCTTATTTGTAATTTATGTTCATTTGAATTAATCTATATTTATTAGTAATCATTCAATTATTTATCAAAGAAAGAATAAGCGTTAGAAATATAATTCTCAGATAATTAATGGAATGTATTTAGATATTTTATATTATTTTTTCTGATTGTATGTTTTTCTATTCTTCTTAAATCTTTTTATTGAACATTCTTCTTATATAATTTTTCTATAGATATAATAATTTCAATGTATTTTATCTAGAGCAAGTCTAGATATTCTGTGTAAATCACTAATTCTCATTGTTGCATTTCAGTACTTTAAATTCTCTTAGTTTGATTGATATCGATGATGTATTAGAAACTGCGCATAACTCTTTGGATGATCTGTGGAAATTGGATGAATATCCTTATCCTCAACCTCGAATGGAACATCTCTTGACAATTACAGGTAATTAAATGCTCAAAAGAGAAGATTTAGAACAAATTGAAGAACTTATTTTTAAAGTGCACTTAAGGAATCAAATCCCAGAAATCATGATTTTGGTTTTCAGATAAAAGATTTAAAAATGTATACATTTCTAAGATATTTTTGTGTGTAATCACATTGTCAGATATTGACACTAACTCTCCAAAATCCTTCACCATTAGAAGTGGTCAAAACAACATCATGGGATCTGGAATTTCAAATATTATGGCAGGAAAAATAATTTAAGCATGATTTGAGTATGAAATAATACTGTCTGGCAAATATAAATTATAAATTTATACATATTATTTTTAAATTGTGCTTACATGGTTTACACCTTGGGCCTTCAGATGCTTACACAATTCAATACATTATTCTTCATCACATGATGAGTTATCCGTTGCATTTGTTGCACTTGTCTGTATAGCTATTTGCCTGAACTATTACTCATTATGCTGCTTTGCAATACCTAACTTGTCTAAAAGCAACTTAACAAATTTTATCCCCTCTCCCTGTTTTTCCTCCTCATCCTCTTCTTCTTCCTTCTCCTCTTCTTTAAATGCAGAGAGAGAGAGAAAGTTAGAAAAGCTGTTAATTCAGGTGCAACAAGAAAAAAAGATGTTTCTGACAAATTTGGAATTGCTACAAGAACACTATTTGTAAGGAAATAGGAAAGAATCTTTCCGAAAAGGACATTTGGATCTAATTGGAAATGGAAAAGTACAAGACTGATGAATTCTGTGATAATGTGGGGTGTCTATTAAAATGGTTTTAGCAATGCAGAGAATAAAGTCAGTATAAGTGAATTTATTCTGAAAGAAAAGAGAAATCAATTTGCAGAGTGACTCAGCTACAAAGGATTTGGAGCAAGTAGAGGTTGGCTACATTAATTTAAATTAATTCATGACATACCTTTTAGAAAAATTTGTGGTGAAAGTGGGGCTGTTGACAATAATGTGTTCAATGAATGGAAAAGTCAGTTGTATGAATTGTTAAATGGCTATCTGTCTAAGATCATATTCAATGCTAATGAGTTAGCTCTTTTCTTCAAGTGGAACGTGGCTGTCCAGGACCAGCTGCATCACAGTCGGTCGAGTTGACATTTCAGCCATTATATTGTGGCTTTCTTCTTAGCTATACTGCAAAACAATACAGTGTCAGCCAAGTACCAATTGACTCTGGCCTCAGAAGCTTATGAATCAACTTTTTTTTGTGCCTATGGGATTCAACACTAACTTTTGAAAGTGAAAAGTTACATGCCAAAGCATAGCATAGCAAAGAGAGAGTGATGATTTTACTGGCAGTGAACATTGACAGAACTGAAAAACTAAAATCGGTTTTAATAAGAAAATCAAAAAAGCCACATTGTTTTGCTGACTGTCGTTCACTTCAATTAAATTACTAGGCCAATAGAAAAGCATGGATGATATGCAAATTGTTTGCAGAGTGGTGAATGATCTGTGACAAAAAGATGGCTAGAGAAAAACATAAAATTGTCCTTTTCATCTACAATTATACTTCCCACAACAATATTCTGCGGT